CTGGGGTTCTGCCCCGTGACTGACAGTAACTCTAGTGTCCACCTCCATTCCCATTTGTGTCCCTACTAACAGATAATACTGTTTTGCTAACTGGATTGTGACAAGTCCATTAGAAATCCAGAATTAAATTCCCTTTTGGATATACTTTGTGTTAACATCTTGAATCCTGGTCTTCCAATTATATATTCCAATTTATACAGCTGCATAAGAATGAAAAATATTTTGTCTCTAGATAATGTAGCTAATTTAAAAAAAAAATTGGATTGCTCTCAGACAATAGCAATACTTTCACATTCATAAAAAAGACAAATTACTCTATAAAGATATCTCTCAATTGCACTGGTGCCTACCTGATGCATCATCATTTTAAAAATTTTTGTCATTATTTTCACAATTCTGTACAACTCTCCTCTTCACATACATTCCATCTGCTGTCACGTAAGTTCCTTAAATTTCTCCAAATTATAAAACATTAAAGCTGAGAAAATTTACTTCTTTAACCTATTATTCATATTTTTTACAAAAGCACACATAGGTGTCTTCCCTTAAATCAGAAACATCCTTTCCTCAGGTATATCCTCACTATATATTCTAGTTTATATGTTATAGAAAATATTAAGCAAAAAAAAGCCTCCTGTAAGACAGATGTTTAGTGTTATGTCAAGCTTCATATGTTGTGTATTTACAGCACACATTAACTTTAATGTTGTCATCAGACAAGGAAGCTAAGGGACATTTGTTCCTTTTTTTTTACACATGGAAAACAGTATGGAAATTCCTCATTGTGTCTCACTCAAACATGTATACAATCATGTAACTTCCATTTAAATGCCCTATCCTTCAATAAAATTGGAATGTAAATTCCAAATCTTGAAAACACAAACCATCTTTTAAATTCTCCCTTCATAAAATAAGCAAAGTAAGTTTCAAGTAGGGTTTAAAAAAAAAAAAAAAAATATCTAATTCATGGTTACACCTCAGGAATTATAAAAGTCCCTCCAGGAACTGAGAAAAAATCCAGAAGTGGGTACAGTATCCACTCCACACAGGCCAGGAATTGCCACCTTCAAATGCAGCCCATTACCCTGAATTATACAGAATAAAACCTTCCATACAGCAACACAGTCCCTCCCTCTGTTCCTCGTTCATGTGAGGCTGTAACAGTCATCCCGCACTACCTAACGCTTATCATGGAAACGGTGGTAGTACTACACAGATTAATATGCAAGTATTTTAAGGACCAGCTCCTATGTTGAACAAATAGAAAGGGTTACAAAGAAGTCTGAACATCCATCAGAAGAAAAGCCAGCAGGCAGGGTCTGTGCTCAGCAAGTTTTGTAGAGGTGCATCAAGGTCTCGCCTGCCTTGTGAGACCCGAGCAGGAGAGGGGGAGACCTGGAGATGGTGGCAGCACACAGGCTTTCCACAGCCTGCCCCGCTGCAACGCAGGAATGGTCCGTGAGTGCTGCTGCCACAATACCCAAGAAACACAGCCGGCAGTGAAAGACCAAAATTTCACTTTCAGAAATCTAAAGTATGTTTAAAGAGAGCTACGGCAGGCAGATCCAAGCTTGATCTGCCAGTGTTTCAAATCACCCAAGCATGTCCCCATCTACGTCCAAACACCATTCAGACTACAGCCACGCAGCACTGCCTGCAGGCTGGCCCAGCCTGACCCTGAATTTATATATCTTTGTTATTTTGTGTCTTTGAAGTATCTTTAAGGTATATATTTTATTGCAACTGAAAAAAACTGACCAAAGAAAATCCCAGCAATCCCCACATTCCTCACAGCTTTAAGAAACACAACCACAGCAATATAAGTTTCAGTACATCTAGTTCTGGTTATTTACCATGATTCTGACTTTGACATGCTAAACTCTTTTAAGCTGTTTTTTAACAGCCAACTCAGCAGACCTTTTAAGCTTGCATATGTATACATTGGAAATGTAAACGTTTATTGACAGTTATCTTCCTCAACTGACTGCAAGCATTTGATTGCACACTTGTAGTTATGATGGAAAAGAGCTGAAAGATATCCATTGCTTGCTTACACTTGCTGAATGAGAGATAAGATACATTTCAAAGAGTTAATTTCTGGGCTGTTTAAAAATCAAACACCGCATTCAACTGGATTCGGGTTCTAAGGTATGGAAACACTGTTCTACTTGTTGATATCTTTAACAAGGTACAGTAATATTACAGAATATAAATTCTAAGTCTTTACTCAACATTGGAAATTAAAAACAATAGATGCTGCTGACCTGAGTCCATGAGACTCTGAAATTATATTTTATAACTGGAATGCAAATGCAGTATCTTATACACAGACAAACAAATCCACTTGATTTCCCAGACCTCAGTGCTCTGTTCTACTTTCAGAGTTCTGTTTTAATCAGATGAGATAAACCCCAACCATTATGAGTTCATTTATTTATAGTAAAGGATGCCACATGTTAGGGCAGAAAAAAAACCCACTCAGTGTAACTGGATATTGCATCCAGTTTTAAAAAGACCAGCAACACCCAATTAATTTTTTCCCAAAAGAAAATGCACCTGACAAAACCTTGGAATGACTTCTAGGACATTTTGAAAATCTCAGGTCTGATAAATATAACTGACTAGGAGAAATAATTTTCTTGTTTAAAACATTTCTCTGTGGATGAAAACCATGAACACCACAAACTTGTCAAAGCTTTTCTAATCAGATGCAAACACTAAGAATTATATTCCACAAAACAATTTTGCAACACAGAATGAAAATATAGAAATATTCATCTAATCAGAGAATTGCTGGAAACCTCTCCCAGCCTTTTTTGGCACATTAACCAAACCTGTGAAGTTATAATCTTCTTCCTAGACCTGTCCCTTCACACCACCAAACTTGTGGAAGCAGTGATGTGGTGCAGTAAACTAATCCTAACCATCCTTCATCGTACCATGAACATTAGAGCAGAGCTGTAGGAAAGTGGAAGCTCTCCTGCTGGCTCCAGCTAACACTGCAGTTACAAGCCAGGTCAGGAGCAGAAAGTTTCCCCCTGAGTAACACAGAGCCAGCTTAAGTCAATCCCAAATTGAGCCATATACAAGTTTTTAGATAAAGCCTATGCAACATCATTGGAAAAGACATATCGGTTATTCCAAGTAATTTCAGATGTGTGGGAAAGAGCTGTTCTAGACATCAATTTGCCCCAGGAATCTAGAAGGAAAGAAACAAAGAAACCTTCTCCAGCCATCAACCTAACAGTGAAGGGCTAGAAAATCTTATGCCACGTATGGCATAAGCTCAGATACAGCTGAAAAGACTCAAGGGCAGCTCTGGGGAGGAGCTGGAAATACTGAGTCCCACGTTGTCTGGTCAATATGATGGAGGAGGGAGCAGTGATATTTACCGTCTCTCCCAGGCATGTCTGCCATGAGAAGGTGAATGGAGAAGATAGTGGATAGGCGAAAATACCAGGCACTCTGTCAGTTCTTTCCCCTAACTCACACAAACACCTGCAAGCTACGCAGGGTAGGGAAACACATGTGTCTTGTGCAGGATTAGGCAGCCTGGCTATGCAAAGTGCTTGGTACCCTGCAGCTGGCCACCTCCTCCTGCAGCCAAGACAGACATTTGCTGAGTTACTGCAGTTGTTCAATCATATTAACCACACTGAGGGTAAAGCACTTCTTTTCCTGAAATCCCACTAAGATTATCACATTGCATTTAACCGCTTCCAAGGAACAGACAGCGAGAGTGAGTGAAAGAGGGGGGAAGAAGGGGTGGGGGGGAGCAAGGCAGGGAGAGAGAAAGCAAAAAAGGGAGAGACGCAGTTTTGGCAAATGAGCTGTCTTTAGACTCAATCCACTAAAGCTTCGGAAGTATGAAACACATATGGGCAGTCACTAAGGAAATACCTACAGTGAAGCTTAGGATCTCTGCAATTTGGTGCACCAACAGTTCCTCTTGCAATAAGCCACTGGCATTGCTTACCCCTTCAGAGAAAAGCAGCTTGTCACTTTAGACTAAACTATGGAATAACTAACTGTGCAAAAATCTTTACAAAGGAGGCATAACTGATCTCTAAAATTTTGTAGCACTTTGTAGATATCATAACGTCTCAGGTTTTGAGATCAGTGTTTTACAGGGAATATAAAGAAGCAAATGCCTTAAAAAGGGCTCCTTTCCACTCTATAATTTTCCTCTAAACTTACCAACTGCTGCATTTGCATAGCATTGCAATATTCATCTAGAGCACTAAGGTCTTCCTTCTCTTTAGAGTGGAAAAATAATGTGACATTGTGCATTAAGAATGATACGCAGGGGAGGTTCTGACTGGAAATAAGGAAACAGTTTTTACTAGGAAGATAATTAGGAACTGGAAGAGGCTGCACAGAGCGTTTCTGGAATGTCTGGTCCCAGGCATTTTCAAGACCTGATGGGAGAAAGCCCTGAGCAACCTGCTCTGAGCTCAGTGTTGACCCTGCTTTGAGCAGCGTGTTGGATTAGACAGTCTACTGTCAGATAAAAGGTATCAAGTTCCCTGAAAGCACCACAGAGAACCTCAGGAGTTTTCAAAATTAGATTTTTTAAAAAAATAATACCCATTAGGAATTTTGTTCCAAGTACCAGGTTGTGTTACTTATGCACAGTGCAATTAAATCAATGGTATGACTGAAAACCTTTTAGTAAAAGCACATTTTGAATAAATTTACGAAGTGCATGCAATAAAAGTTAGCAAAAGACCAAAAAAAAAAATCAAGTATCTACTTTTTGGAACATCCATTGTAAATAAACAATGGCTTTCCATTGAATTCCTCTCATAAATGTCAGTAACAGTATAATGATTTACAAGCAACATTAAATGTGTTTCTTCACAACCGGTATTTCCTATTAACGTTGCATCCCTTCTTAAAAGCACACATATTCGTTAAAGCAGACAAACCCCCAGGCAGCCCAAGGAAGCAGATGCAGACATCCATGCAGAAAGCACTTTGCAGGTGCAACACATCCTCACCTTGAGATTGGGTTTTGAGAGGAGTTTCAACAGTTCTCTGATCTCACTGCTCAGTGGCTTGCTCTGCAGCTCCTCAGCCAGCTGGGTGGGAGATGGAATCGACACAAAGACCATTAGCAAGGCATTGTTTTACCCAGTGCATCAGTGACAACCCAGAATCTATCTTGTTCAAGGTTATTACTTTCCAGCATGTTCAAACAGAAGCCAGCATGAAGAAAAACACCATCAATCACCGCGCTTCTTTTTCTGGCCCTCGGTGGACCAGATTTAAGCCAGGCCTTTTGGCTCTGTTTAACACAAGTAATCATTTCTGGCAAGGGTGCAGCCAGATCGCGTTCTGATTTATAGTGATGGGGGCAAATCCCAGCACTTCATTTAAGTGAATGGTCCTTTGCGTGCAGACAAAGGACTGCTTGTAAAAATGACTGGATCAAACTTTGACACTGTCTATAAAAAACAGTTTTGAATGAGGTGGTGAAATCCACACTGCTTCCAAAAACCCACAGTAGCTGTGCTGTTTAGGACTGGGATAAGAAAGCAAAGTGCCCCTACAGTGCAAGCAACCTGAACCTTTTATTATGTTTACACATACACTGGAAGGAGCTTGTTAAATGTGAAGCGGGTTAATCATAATATAGTTTATAACAGGTCATCAGCAATTCAAGCCCCTAAAATGCACAAACTATGTCCTAACAACAAGATCGGTAATTTATGTTTGGTTATACTACAAAATTGGGGTTTGGTGAACAATAGAGCAGCAGTCTAACGTTTAATCCCATGGCTATTTGGCTCATGTCTTGAGTTTTTCTTATCATGACATTCTCAACTAATTTGGACTCAAGAGGCATATTTTACTGCAGGATTTCAGACTCAAACTATTTTTCCAGAAGAAGGAAAAGCTAAAACATATTTCACAACACTGAACTTTAGTTTAAAATTCTGAAGCTACATGGCTCATAATCCAAAACGTGATTTCAGATAATCACTTATTTTCTTTGCATTAAATCAGTATCATAAAAATGTCTCAAAGAAAGATTGGTTATTCTCAGCAAGTAATTTTATTCGTCTAGCCTAATTTTAAATTTGTACTTTCATTTTATATAAACTTTCAAGATAAATGGATAGAGGCATATTTTGCATAATTACGTATGATAGACAATTCTAGAAGCAATTATAGACATCAGACATGGTTTGAATACTTCTTTTTTTTAACCTTCAAATTAAGACAGGGTTAACAGGACTGAAACAAAAATTCATCACCTAGAGTCCCACAGCCTTTTAACTATAATTCATAGATAAAAACATCCATCAAATACATCAACGCTAATCTTAACAATATTTGTGTCTTAATACCGAAAGATTAGAAAACGATCTCTGTAGGAAAGGTCAGAATGAAATATTTTAGGCACATAAAGCCAAGTATTGAGGTAATCTGACTGCAATCTAGTCTGCATGTTCTATGGAAAAGCTCTGCAAAGCTTAAAATTATCTGTGATAGGAATGACAGCAGGTATATCACAGAGGTTTCCCTTGGTTCTCTTGTCATTCTTTAGCTTGTACTACTCATCACTACAGAATAAAATGTACTCATTTATTTCATTGATGAAAACTAGTAATCATTCAGTAAGAACGACTGCTTCAGCATTTCTCTCAGATGAATTGTGCACAAGCATCTCAACTTCAGCAGAACTGGCATTTGCTTTGGTGGTGCAAATGTAAACGTAGGCACGTAAGGTTTAGAACAGTGAGAAACAGAATATTTTGTTACTGCTTTAACAGATGTTTTAATCTCATAATTTAGAAAACATTTCTTCAGAGACGAAATAATTAAAAATTTGGTTTCACTCATGTAATTTACAACTTCTTTCCAAATATTTCTGTAAAAGTCTTAAAGGCACATGTAACACCCCATGACAGAAGAGGAGGAGAAAGACAAAGATTGATAGAGAAGGAGGAAGACAAAGCCATGTTTCCAGATTAGCAAACAGATATCACCAGAGCTGCTTGTTGTACTTCTAGCAGTTTTGGACTGGATTTTTATTTGTCGTTGTTGAAGTGCTGAGATTTGGGACAGCTACCAGCAGCAGTACCAACTATATGGAATACTTTGGGCACACTGATACCGTGCTGATCACCTACTATGCCAAAGACTGCAGGAAAAGCTGCCAGAGAACCTCTTCTATGATTCTCTGTTGAGGGAACCATAACATTTCACGAAGCTCTTTATGAAGAGTTGCCACTACAGAGAGGGGGAAACAAAGCAAGGGAGAGGGGCAGATGTGGGGTGAAGCTGGCGAGATGAGGAGCACCGGGGCCTGGGGTGTTGAAGCTTCTGGAGAAAGTTCTGAAACTTCTTTTGCCAGAACAGTCTTTCTAATAACCTAGAAGCCTTATTTGCCATATATACATATACTGCCAGCAATGTTTAGAACATTTGCATGAAATCAAGAGTCCTGTGTCAGATGCTACTGCTCCAAAGTTAAGAGGCAAACAGAATCTCTGATGGGAAATTCAGCCTAAAAGTCACTGAGGGTAAGGAGACAGAAGTTATAGCAGCTAGGAATAGGAAAATGTTTAGAAAAGAAGCCTCACCACAATTGTTACCTCTAAAATTGCTCTAAAAATAATACAAGAATAAAACCACACTCCTTAAACAGTTTTTAGTTACGTTAGCATCACTGCAAATTTGGGTTTTAACTCAAACAGGAAATACTCACTTGCTTGTAAGAACATCTCCTTCTTTGTTTAACTATAGAACAGTTACTATCACCAGGAAAACAAAACATTAATTTAAAGCCTACTGAAATAAAAGTGTGTTTTATATCACCAACATGCTCTTAAATCCCTGAAGCTGACAACTAGTCAGACAAATGTGCCAAAAATTGAATAGCACTTTAATCCTGGAACTCCACGGGTTTTGGAGCTACAAAACATACTGCATGTAAACTAACTTCCTCAAAGTTTGCTGATAACTATTGAAACACAGAAAATCCTGCAGCTTGCTAGCCTTCAGCTGCCAAAGGATATCCTCATTCTGTGGGACGGTGCCCATAAAACCAGCTGCTCAGCTACACATAAACAAAACTCAATAACCAGCAAGAGGATCTTTAAAAAGAAGGTGTGCTTAAAAGGTAGGCAGATGTCTAGAGACCCTCATGTCCCATATACATTTTAAAAATACTGCCATATATACATAAGAATACATTCATAGGGTTAAAAACCCTGACCTCTCTCAACTGAGCAGTGACAGAGTACTTTAATTTGGGGATTTCCAAAAGTATATGTTTTAAATGGGGCTGAACAAAGAATGAGATTGCTCAGCATTTCTGAAAATATCAAGAACTAAGTTTTGCATCCAAAAATAAGAAATTATTCTTATTAAGAACTTTAGCCCAGAGATCCATAACACAAATGTTAACAAGGATTATTAATATGTCACCAAGAACTTAATGAAGAGAATTTCAACCAGCTTTCTAATTTTCAAAATTACTATGAACATTATTCAAAGCTACCTGAAGGTTAAAAAAATATTACTAATATATGCCTCATGTCAAAGCTAATGCATTATTATATTTGGTATGTTACAGGATATAGCTCTCCTCCTACTGAAACATGATTAAATTACATTATATCCTTTTTTCAATAGGCTTCAAATATGTTTAATTTAGTTTTTCGTTAAAATGTTACCATTCTCAATTCAAAACATCTAACCATTCGTAAAATTAAAAATCAAAAGCTATAAATTATATAAAAAGATACTTAAGATTTCTCCTGGGTTAAACCACAACAGATTTTAAAACATCTATAAAGTATGTGAAGTTTCAAACATGCCGTATTTGAAACAGATCCTAATACATATTGCCTTTTCCAAAAAACAACCTGAGATCATCAATTGCAACAAAGATTTCTGGATTTCACCTAAACCACAGTTTATTAAACATTTCTCTATCCTGGCCTACCTCAGGTTCAGTCATAGTTTATACAGGTGTGTGCACAATTCATCTGAATCCTAGAATTAACCAAATACCAAGAAATGGCAGGTTGGATTTTTTTCTTTAAAATAAAAATTATAGTAACAGGAAATTAACTACTCCATCAATGCCGACCACTTTTACAATTTATTTTTTGGTTATGAAGGTAATTTGGAAAGCTCCAATATCAATAAATCACTACTATACTTTTTCGTAAATAGTTTTTGATTTTTTTTTTAAAACAAGCCTCCTTCCTAGGCATTTCATATGCTTCATTTCTGTAGTATTATCTGTCATTTTTCATGTTCTGTCAGCAGTGCTGCTATCTCATTTGTCTTTGTTTTTCCAAAGCATTCCTCTTGTCTGTGACTTTCTCAAAACACGAATAGTTGACAGCTTTTCCCCTCCCAGAAGAGTTCCAACCTGCAATTTCTATTACGTAGTTACTAAAGCAGAACAAGAGGCTATCTAGATGCAATGTTTTTATAACAGGCAAGTGAATAAAAATCAAAGTAATATCAGCAACAAGCCCGGTGATGACAGCACCTTTGGAAACATTTGCAGCTTCTTATAATTTCAGCTCAGAGGATTATATTCATATGTTTGCACTATGAGGAGTTCTGCTTGCAGACAGTTTTTTGGGAGACTTGGTACCAGTGATCTCAGCAGGGGACACTTACATCATCTGCCAAGGCTGCTGCACCGTGGAGTATGGGCACCGGGTTCTGTTTTTCATAATAATGCAGTTTTTCATGAATCTGGAAGACAATAGCACAAAATGATAAGAATATTTAGCAGCACGAGAAACGGTACAAAATGACCCTGTTGAGCTAACTGATCTGTTGAGTGTCTGTAACTAAAGAAACATCCTTATAGTAACCTACAGGCAGCAATCATGTAAATGTAATTCATCATCATCCTCTGTTGAAGTGCTAAGAATATGAAATCAGATGGAAAAAATGCTCAGTATGTAGACCAACCCACAGAAAAACTAAACATTTGTGATTTTTCTCTTCTCGCTTTCTCTGTCCATATTTCTAACATATTGCTTTAAGTATCAATTACATTTTATATTGCTGCTGAAAACAGAAAGCATAAAGTGTTTATCCCCAAGATGGATATAAAAAACCCTGTAAATTATGATTTATGAAGTGAAATAATAGCCTGCCACCCACATCTTGACAGACAGCTTGGTGGAGCGGCTGCCGTCATTAAAATAATTCAGAAACAAGGGCAAAGTAGTGCTAATATGAATTCTAACACATCTAAGAAGAAAAAGGCAGTCCTTCAGCAAGTTAAAGTCATTTAGGAGCATTTAAAGTTTTTAATGGGGAGCTATCAACATTAAAAATGCAGTGTGCTTTGGTTCTTTCAAAAGGGGAAAGGATACACCAGCATTTAAATATCCAGCCTCTTCCCTCCTCCACAAGTCATGCATTTCAAAATTTAGATTTTTCCACTGTGAGAGCTTAAAAGAGCCAAAATATTTTAATGCTTCTAACAAGTTTTTTAAAAGTTATTTCAGAATGGCATAAAATAATATATTAAACAGTCAAATTTTATTTAATTATTTTCCTGAAGATACACAGATGTACAAATATTACTTAAAATTCAAAAAAGAAGACAACAGTAGTCTGAACTGATGCAAACACACCCCATTCTTAGCTTTCTACTTTAGTCCCGCTGCTCTGAAGGAGGCATGGACTCCAGATGGTTGGAGGAGTTGCAGAAGGAGCTAAATCTGGGACTCCTGTGCTTGGCAAGGAGGGGAACACAAGGTCTAGCAGAGGCTGTAGGACTCTGGACTTGGCTGGGGATCCCCTCACATCCTTAGGGTACGGGAACCCCAATGATACCCTACCCATCCCCAGTGCACTGCTGGGGGAGGAACAGGACAGCCACCAGGCAGCAAGGATGGCTGTAAAAAGGAACCAAACCAGTGGTCTTTGCACACTGAAAATGTTTGGAGTTGACTGGATCATATCTGTTATGCACTAACTGTTTCCTCCAGCCTTCCCTCTGCTTCCACATTCACTTTCCTCTGCTTACTTTTACCCCAGCAGCACTCACTCCTCTCACTGCCCAGGGGGGTTGGGCTAGATGACCTCTAAAGGTCCCTTCCAACCCAAAGCATTCTATGATTCTACGATGTCAAGACCCCCTCAACCTTCTCCCCAGCCCTTTCTTTTGAATTTAATATGAACTCCTAATAACCACACCCATAACAAGATAATGCCACGTCAACAGCGCTTGTGCTTGCCATTTTTCCTTTCTTCTGCTGTGCTTCATAACACTTTCTAAGTCCATGTCTGGTTTTACTCATTCAGACTATACGTTCTTTGAAGTAAAGGCCATACGACACTCTGTTAATGTAACGTGGCATAGCAAGATCTAAGTCTTGGTCGATTCCTCCATCATTTCTGTAATCTTAATAAGATTACTTCTCTGCGTGCTTTGTTAAAGGATACTGAAGTTCTGAAATGTCAAGGTGAAGCATGAAGACTACACAGTTGCTAAGTTGTAAAATGATTTGTTCTGAACAGCAAGTATTTGTACCTCATCTGGAAACTAAATGCAAAGCACTATTATCTCCAGAACATGAGTCTGAATTTTACATAGCTTTTGTAGACATTGTTTACTGAGCAAAGTAAGACTAATCCATATTGGATATCACCAAAAGCATAAGTGACTGGAAAACTTCGTATTTCTAGCTCACAAAGTGCAGAAACTAAACAAAACAAGGAGCTGCAGCTCCTGGAGTTTAGCAGAAGTTTGCGATTTACTTAGACTGTGAACTTGAATAACTAAAAGGCATAATAAATCAAAAAGTCTCAAATCCATCATTTTTTTGATTGCTTCAGCCAACATCTTGATTTTGTCCAGGCTGAGCTTCCGTCAACTCTGTGGTTAAAAGCAGTCACCTATGCTACCTTCTACTTTCTCAGAGAAACAGAAGTGCCTCTGCCGATGAAGCTGTTTTTACTCTGGACAACCTGCAGGTGTCTACCAGTGAAATTAAAAAATAAAGAAAAAACCTTCCAAAACCAAACAATAAAAAAATGCCAAGACATTCTTGTGCAACTCATCTTCAAAAAAATGTTATAAAATTGTAAATTCATGCAACAACAAAACCAGGGTTTTAAGAGGAGGTACTGCGTAAGTTACTGGCTCTGCCTATAACCAGCCAAGGGCTGAAAACAAATTTTTATTTTCCTAACAGTAGATATTGGAATTCAGCTAAGCATTTAAGGAAAGTCATTAAAGTTTTATTTGAGATGGAGGAGTTGTAGAGAATAACTGGCAAATCAAATCTGGAGCAAACAACAGGAGCTAATCAAGTAAGCAGGAAAATTCAACTATTATTACTAGACAGTTCTAGATATTAGGTTTTGCTACATCAGGTAGAAGGTTTATTAATTTACTGTACTGGCACTATGAGTGACTCCAGGGATAAACATTATGTTCTACAGTAACAGACACTGCAATCTCAGCACACTTCCATTTGAGGAGCAATACATATGGTGTTGGTTGGTTGGTTGTTTTTTTTTTTTTCAAAAGCATCTGATTTGATTTAATAGGTAGTATTTTGCCTTGTTTGCTAAATGATTCTAGGCTTTTTTAATCAGATCTTTATATGGCAAAACCTGCCTTCCATCTCTTTGTAATTTAAAGGAGTTACCTAAGAAAATTAAAAAAGCACTGGTCTGCACACAAAGCTGCAAATACACAAAATACAAGGATTATCTTTCATATCAGTGTAAAATTATCACACATATCATAAAATGCTACTTCCTACTGCTCTCCTACACATACCACCTACCTCTAACTTCTGGATAACTAATGTATTCATAATGTATGCAGCACATACATAATAGCTTCCTGAATGCAGGAAGACCGGAGATGTGGCGCAATACAACTGACAAAGCAAAAATTTCAGTGAGGCAAAAATGCATTTTCAGGCAACTTCTTCTCTCCATGTGTCTAAAAGTGTGTTCCAAGATGGTTTGGTCCATAATTTTTCCCACACATCACAGTAAGGCTGACTGGCCTCTAGTTCCCCACATTGTATTTTTGGCCTTTTTTGAAGATGGGTACAGCATCTGCCCTTCCCTGGTCACTGGGGACTAGGTCACCTCTGTTGCCTTTCAAGGATGACAGAGCACACTTGCAAACTCACCTCATAGCCTCTGAATTTCCCAGACTTCAGAGTGATGAATGACTGCATTTATGACTACCACCTTTAGAAAAACTACCGTGCACACAACCAAACATTTTGGCAACTTCTCCACATGCTGTCTTTCAGCTAATTATCTTCCCAAACCTGAAATTTTTAAATCGTGCTAATTATGCACAACTAGCATTATATTTCCAAAACTCAATTCTTACACAAGTAGAATTTGAAATTTTAATATCTAGATTAAGTGACCACGTTGATAAAAACAAAGACAGTATAAGCTAGGCAAACACAGAATTGAAAAGCAAAACAGGACAAGGTGGTGCAAGTACTCTGCCCCTTTACAAATCTCACTCAATGAAATTAAATTGTAATAGCAATTAAAACCACCCTGAAACACTTTGAGACAAGTATGAGGGTGGATCCAAAATAGTAGAAGAGAGAGCACTTACCTATTCAATATAAAACATTTAATATTGGCAACCACTTGTTTGAGCTTCATTCTAAAGAATTCTATTTAATACAAATGGCAAATTTTTCTTGTATTCTGTGGCTATCCCTGATGTCCAGTAACTTTAATACTATTGCCTTCTCTCTAGCAGAAACCTACGGAATGTATGGAGAGTATAGGACTGTATCATGCATAAAAAACAGAAAATATAGTACATCTGTTTTAAGTTCTTCTGACACTTAAGTGTAAAGATTGAATCCTGAAAATCTCTTCACAGATCAGACTGACTCTGTTAAAGCAAGAGTTATGTATTGTAAATAAAACATACAAAGCTGTTCTGCCGAACAGATGACTAAGTTGCTGGGGTTTGGGGTTTTGATTTTTGTTTTTTTAATGACTACCTATCCTTTTCAGTGTAGGGTACTTTGGGTTCACTTATGAGGTTCTGCGAAAACTGACAATCTACTATGAAGATATGTCCCAAGAGGGAAAAATAATAATTTGCAAATTTATACAATTTTTGGCACATTTGTAGGCAGGTGAAATTGTTTCTGCATTTTCCCAGAGAGATTGAATTAAGCTTTCTATAACAAAGTATAGCAGAAATAAATTTTCTGCAGTGTCCCCAGCCTGGACTACTTCAAAGCCCACAGGGAGCTTTCTTGAGTAAGAAAAAACAAATATCTTAAGCCCAGAATCCTACAAAATAAGCATAATTCCTCCTTTTAGATTTCTTAATTTCCAGGTACAGTTCTGATATCATATGGCTGAAAACAACACAGGGGAAGGGGATAAGCATGTACCCAGAATAATATCACTCGCTCCTTCTGGGAAGGAATCTCCTTAATACAAGAATAATTTTATTACAGTTTAGTGGACTCTGGTACAGTTGTGTAAGCAGGACTTTTCTGAAAGGCTCTACAGAACAATACTGCATGCCTACAAGCTACCTACCTGGCTTCAGAAAGGGTAGCATGTATCAGTATTACAGTCCAAGATTCATTAGCAATCCTTTAGAAAGTTATCCACCTGTAACATTTCTGGAAAATTTAAGACAGAGCTCCAAAATGGACTGTTTTCATCATAAGATGATAGAATAGAATAGACTATTGTTGTGGTTTAGCCCCAGCCAG